GGGAGGGTGGGGCCCGAGGCGGGTCTCAAGGCCATTCTGGCCCCGCCCCTAGGGCCCGGAGGCCGAGGTGGAGCTAGTGAAGGGCTCCCTGGTGCTGGTGACCGTGGACACGGCGTTCCGGACTCTGGGGGACGCGAACACCATGTGGGTGGACTACCCCAATATCGTCAAGGTCGTGCCGGTGGGGGGCCGCATCTACATAGACGACGGCCTCATCTCCCTCCTGGTCAAGAAAATCGGTGCGGATGAGCCTCCGCCCCAGCCAAGCGGGGACGTGGGCGCACTCCCTTCCCTTGGCTCCCTCGTCCCGTAGACCAGCCGCCCCCGCCCCTAGCCAGCACCCTTCCCCACTCGCTCCCGGAGCCCCCGGTGTCCAGACTTGTGGGCTCAACCCGGGTTGGGGCTGGACTGCTGGGTTCGTCCTTCTTGCACAGACCGGTGCCTGTTAGGTGCACAGGCCTGGCCGAGGGTGGAGAGACACTAGGACATGGGTTCCTGATCTCCTGGGCTCCCTCTCCGTGACTATGCCTCCGGCTCACCCCTGACCTGCGCTGGCTCTTTCCATGCCCGCAGGCCCAGAGGGGCTGGAGACCCAAGTGGAGAACGGAGGCCTCCTGGGCAGCCGGAAGGGCGTGAACTTGCCAGGTGTTGAGGTGGACTTGCCCGGGCTGTCGGAGCAAGACGTCCTGGACCTGCGCTTCGGGGTGCAGCACAACGTGGACATCGTCTTTGCCTCCTTCGTGAGGAAGGCCAGTGATGTGGCTGCCATCAGGGCTGCTCTGGGGCCCGAAGGACGCGACATCAAGATCATTAGCAAAATCGAGAACCACGAAGGCGTGAAGAAGTGAGGCTTGGTTTTTGTCCCCATCAGGCCCTAGCCATCCCCATCGCCCCCCTCTTCTCCAGCCTGCCTCTCCCTGGAATCTCCTGGCTCTTCCCCAGCCCTGACTCCCCCGACCACCCAGGTTTGATGAAATCCTGGAGGTGAGTGACGGCATCATGGTGGCACGGGGCGACCTGGGCATCGAGATTCCAGCCGAGAAGGTTTTCCTGGCCCAGAAGATGATGATTGGACGGTGCAACCTGGCGGGCAAGCCCGTTGTCTGCGCCACACAGGTCTGGAGCGAGCCCTCGGGGCCCCGGGCATTCTCTGGGTGTTGGGGACACCTGACGGTGGATACCCACACCTTAGGTCTGTAGCACATTTTGCTGTCCAGTGTTTGATCCTCAAACAGCGAGGTTGGGAAGAGATTCTGTGAGCCCCATTTTCAGATGAGGAAACTGAATCGCCAGAACCACATAGTTTGTAACTGTTACCCTGGCTTTCGGGGCACTCTGAGCGTGGCAGAGAAGTAGTTTGGGCAGGGTGCCCAGTCAGAGTGTGAGTCCTGCAGCTGCGATGGCCCGATGTCCCCCAGATGCTGGAGAGCATGATCACTAAGCCGCGGCCGACCCGGGCGGAGACCAGTGACGTAGCCAACGCTGTGCTGGACGGAGCAGACTGCATCATGCTGTCGGGGGAGACTGCCAAAGGCCGATTTCCCGTGGAGGCAGTGACGATGCAGCACGCGGTAGGAGTTCAGAGTGCCAGAAACAGCAAGCCCCTTCCTGGCCCTGGTGCCCCCGGCCCCGCCTGACCTCTGGCGCTTGCAGATTGCCCGGGAGGCAGAGGCGGCCGTGTACCACCGGCAGCTGTTTGAGGAGCTGCGCCGGGCAGCGTCCCTGAGCCGCGATCCCACTGAGGTCACCGCCGTAGGCGCGGTGGAGGCCGCCTTCAAGTGCTGTGCTGCCGCCATCATTGTGCTGACCACGACTGGCCGGTGAGGAGGACGCTGGCAACACCAGGACACAGCTTTGGGCCAGGGGCAGGCGGGGATGGGCCCCAGGCCTGGGTTTTGTCTTGACGTCAGAGATAAAGAGTATCGTCCTGCAGCAAGAGGAGAGGTAGCTGGAGGCCAGGAGAGGCGGATCTTGGAGCCCGCGGGAAATGCGCCATGAGCTCCAGGGGGTTGGAAGGGAATGTGACGTCACTGGGCACGTAGGCTTCCAGGACACTTTAGGGCCCCTGCTTTTAGCCCACAAAGCCTTACAATGCTGAGGTGTTGCAGAAGGGCCCAGAAGGCCTTAGTTCAAGTCTTTGCTCTGAAATCAGCTATGACGCCTTGGGTAAGCCACCTAGGCCCCAGAGACCTCCGTTTTCTCGTGGGGTTGTGAGGATTAACAAGAGACACCTGTGAGTTAAGTACTACATATAGGTACGTTCTCAGAAGGGTTTTATGCTTCTCAAGAGGTTTCTTATTATCTGCTTTGATCTATCCTTCATTATCTCTGGTCGTCCTTGTGTGCTAAGGAGGGCAGGCATTCTTATGCCCATTTTACAGGTGAGAAAAACAAGGCCCAGAGAAATAAGATGACTCACCCAGGGCCACACAGCTTGTTTGTGACACCTGGGATCAGAACCCAAACCCTTGTTTCCTGGTTCTACACTCTTTCACTGTTCTGAGACCTTCTCCATCTCCTTCAGCTCAGCACAGTTGCTGTCTCGGTACCGACCTCGGGCAGCGGTCATTGCTGTTACCCGCTCTGCCCGGGCTGCCCGGCAGGCCCACCTGTGCCGAGGGGTCTTCCCCTTACTCTACAGTGAACCTCCAGAGGCCATCTGGGCAGACGACGTGGATCGCCGGGTCCAATTTGGCATTGAAAGTGGTGAGCCACCTACATTTCCTCCCCCCCCCCAGCCCTGGATCTGCAACCTCAGTCCCCCGACCTCACCTTCCACACCCACTCACAGGGACTTGCCTCTCTCCTCTGGTCCCAGAGTTTCTCCGGGAGGGTCACTAAGACACAGGGATATATGGCCTCCAGGGCCGGGGTCGGGGGGGACATGCTGAGGAGGAGGGCAGTGGGAGAGAGGTCAGCCCAGCTGCTGTCCGCACCAGGTGGCCAGAGCTGGATGGGACGTAAGGATTAAGAGGTGAGAGTACAAGCTGAAACGAAACTCTGGTTTACTGACTGTGCTCACACCCCACCTCTTCCTTTCTCCATAGCAGCACAGGCAGGCAGCCCACGCCACCCCTGGACACCCCTGCAGCCCTAAGAGACTGCGGCGGTCGCGGTCCCTGTGGCGCCACCTAGGGCCCACACTGTGTAGTTCACCCCAGGCCCCTCCAGGCTGCACTGGAGGGGATGGGGGGCAGTGGCCGGCTCTCATGACAGGGCTGGCCTGCCTCCCTCAATGGCTGACCGTCATCTTCTCCCCGCACCCCTGCCAGGAAAACTCCGTGGCTTCCTCCGCGTGGGGGACCTGGTGATCGTGGTGACAGGCTGGCGCCCTGGCTCTGGCCATACCAACATCATGCGCGTGCTGAGCGTACCCTGAGACGCCACGCCCCCCGACCCAGCCCAAACAGGACCTCCCTCCCTCCACCCCACAGCCCCCCACCTGTCTTCTCTGCTCCAGGCCCTCCCTGCCGAGGCCACATCTGCCGTCTAGCCCCGTTCCAGGGCGCCACTTCCTCTCTCCCTTTCACTCAGGCCCCGAAGGTCTGTGTCCAGCTAAGCACCGGCCATCTGGCAGCACCAATCCTACGTCCCCTCCGCCCAATGCTCTCAGCTGGGCCCTAAGATACTCTGAGCCCCTAATCCTAGCTTAGCTGGTTAATATGAGTCCCCTGGGCTTCGTGTACCCAGGGGTGGGGGGCTAGGGGAACAGGGCCGTCCCCACAAAATCCCTATCCATGCAGTCTGATACTCTCCGGTGTGGCCCTCGTGATGATCTGAGCATCTCCCAAGGAGAGCGCCACCTCTTCCTTCATTGTGATGGACAGGGACACCAAAGCACCACCCTTCTGGGGAAGTGAGGCTGGATGAGTGCTGGGGAGCCCCAAGAGCTGGGGGGCTCATCTTGTCACTGTCTTCACAACCTCTGTTGGGTTTGCAGGCCCCTCCCTGGCTGCTCTCATGCCCACCTCATGCCTTTCTGGGTCAGATGCTCTGCTGCCTCGTCCTGCACCCAGAAACTCCTTCGTGCCCACGGTGTTCTCCCACACAAACCAGGAGCCAAAACGAGTAGCTCTGTTTTCCTTTTAAACCCAGCTGTTTGGGAGCAATTATAAAACCCCAGGACTCTCCACTCAAGAGGAAGGATTTGGGGTCCTGGCTCCACACTCTGATACTGTAGCACAGGCGTGGGGACGGAGGAGCGGGGCCAAGTATTTCTCTTGTCCCTGAGAGGGAGAGGTACTGGCTATAGCCTACCCCTCCCCAGGCTTGGATACCTTGGGTCCTCCGCTTACTCTTGCACCAACAGTAGACTCAGGAGGAGCAAAACCCCTGAAAGTAGCAAGAGCTTCCTCCCCGCTTGCGTAGCCCTTCCTGCCGCTCTCTAGGTAGAGAGAGGGCTCAGTATTGCTGCTGGCTGATGGAGCTGAGCGAGGACCCCAAGAGCTGGTATGGGGGGCCCTGCTCCTTCCTCTCTCCCTACAACGAGAAGTGGGGAGGGATGGATAAAGGAACGGCTAAATAAAATGAATTAATAATAAATAAAACTAGCAAATGAATAAATACAATTATTACATAATTGAATAATAAGAATAAATAAGGAAGGGAGGGAGGAAGGAAAGAAAAAATGCCATCTAAGGATTCAGCCACTTGCCCCCCGCCTGGGGGGATCCAGGCTGGCACATTAAATGGGGAGGTGCCAACCATCCCTTAGCCTCTAGGGGGACACCAGCGGGGCAGGGGCACAGGGAGGAGGTGGCCCCTGTCTACAAAAAGACAGATCTAGCACGGGGACAGAGAGTGCAAGGGACTTGACAGGAGACGTTCGCGCTGGGTGGGGGGGTATGGAGGGGAAGGGTCCACACACGGCAGTGAAGGTGGAGGCCCACACTGGGGAGCTGAGACACCCACTGATAGCAGTGGAGGCATGGAGGTGGGCGGTGCCCGGCTGTGCTAGGGAGACAGAGGCCGAAGGCAGCAGGCAGCTCCTGCAGGGTCACGGGCCGGGAAACAGAGACATCTAGTTGTTTGGCAGTGATGGCGGCGGCAAGGAGTTGTGCTTGGTGAGGTGGAGGCCTAGGCCTGAGCCTGCGCCTGGCAGGAACATGCCAGGGGAACCCCCTCCTCAGAGGCCTTGGAGTCACTTCTACTTGGCAGTGAAGACATACAGCGCCTGGCACAGTGTCCTGAACATGGTAGGCGCTCGGTACATTTGATGAATGGGTGAATGGGTCAGGAGGATGTCAGACAGGCTGCAGGGTGCCTGAGCTGAGGACAGAGAGCATCTCTTGGTAGTAAAGGGAGATATTCCCACAGGGCCGTGTTTCAGGTCTCCTTGGCCGTCCCCCAGAGGCATCGACCCTCGGGCACACACTGCGGCACCCAAGAGCTTAGCCAAGGGTTTCACATGTTGGCAGAGAGCTGGGGGCCCCGAGGGGCAGCTGACTCAGGCACCGATGGCCTGGGGGGTTGGGCTGTCCCTGGAAGCTTGGCCAGGAGCCCTGAAGAGGACAGGCGTTCACTTCCTGAGCCCTTACGCCCAGGAGAGCCATCCCCAGCTGCCCGTTGAGGCAGAGAGGGTTGGGAGGCTGAGAGTGGGCGGCCCCGAAGTCCTAGTCGCCGTCCACCTCCTCCCGGGGGGGGACCCAGCAAGGACACCTGGGAGCGCCCAGCCCGGGACAGGCTGGCGTGGAGGGTTCGGGCAGGTGGGACAGGCAGGCGGGAGGTAGATGCCCACGGACCCCGGGCCAGCAGAGGGCCAGCTCGGACAGGCACTAGCGGGGAGGCTGGGGAGCCCGCGGAGCGTCGAGCAGAGCGAGCAAGGAGAGTAGCTGCAGAGTCAGGGGAGAGGGGCAGAGGGCCCCGCTGGTGAGTCAGGGCAATGGCCACACTGGAGGTCGCAGCGGCGGTCTGCAGGGGTGCGTGCACCAGCGGCCCCCACAGCACTGGCTTCCCGCTGAGCCGAGCTCCTGTGCCCGGGGCCAGGCCCCAGACTCCCCGGGCCGTGTCCCTGTCGTGCTGTACCAAGTGCTGCTCCACGGTGCCCCCGCTGCTGCCGGGACTTGGCTCGGAGCGCTTCCGCTGCAGGACAGAGCTCTTCTTGCCTAGAAATGGTCCCAGCGGGGAGAGAATGAGGATGGGGAAGGAGGCCAAGGTGAAGGCTGGGTATCAGAGAGCAGGAGGACAACAAGATGGACTCAAAGGATGGCAGCGGGGGAGGGCTGGGGATGGAGGCTGAAAGGTAGGGGTTGGAGGAAGAGGGCCAGGGAGGACAGTATGTATCTGAGATGCTGCGGCTCAGGGACAGGTACTCAGGGAAGCAGGACTCTGGGCGTGGAGACTCAGGACGATGTCTCCAGGGGTCGGAGACACGGAGTGACAAGGACAGTGAGACACAGCGTTGAAGGTCTTGTGGGGGCATTTGCTGAGAACGGGATGGGCTGGCTGTGACGTCGGTGCATTAGCCTGGGCCCTGGGAGGCGGGGCTGCCTTGCTATGGGGGCGGGGTGGGGACACAGCCAGGACCCCAGGGCGCACGGGGCAGAGGGGCCTCACCGATGCGGCGCAGCCGATCCATGGCCACAGTCTCGAAGGCCCGGCGCATCATGGGGAACTCCTCCAGCACGGCGTTGAAATGGTCCACACTCAGGGAGTACAGGCGGCAGTAGGTGTCGGCCCGCACGCTGGCCGTGCGCCGGCCCCGCGTCAGCAGGCAGATCTCTGTCCAAGTTGGGGGGGCCCTCAGAACCGCCGTCCCCAGAACTCCCGCAGAATTCCCTCTCCCTGGGCCTGCAGCAGCTGACCCGGCTCCCTCAGGCTCCTCCCCACCCACACCAAGACCCCTCCTAAAGGCCCCAAGGGTTGTCTTTCTCCAGACGTGCACAATTACAATCTCTCTCTCTCCAAACTAAAGCTGACAAACAGGTGGGTCTTTCTGGCCCCCACGTACCTAGTTATTCCACTCCATTTAATTCATACCCACTCCCCTGCTCTGGCCCAAGGGGCAGGCCTGGGGCAGCGAATGCAGTCCAAGGGCAACTGAGAAGGAGAAAAGCAGGGCCAAAGGGCAAAGGGCAACACGACAGGGATGCTGGAGAGTGGCGGGTGGTCTGGGGCTGAGCCAGGGCAGAGCCTCGAGCGGCTGTGGGCAGCCCCCCACTGCTACAGCCTGACCCCTACACTGTGTTGCCAGGGCGTCCCGCCAGGGAGCCAGCAAACTCGAGCCCCTGGAGCAGCAGGGCTTTATTCCTGTCTTCCCTTCATCTCCCAGGATCCTTGGATTTCACTGCTTAAGGGTTCTACAAGGCCCATTGGCCCAGAAATTGTCAAGCTGGCTATGCATTGGCCTCTCTTAGGAAGCGATTTAAAACCGCAGAGCCCCAGGGCCCAGACTCTGGTTAAGCAGGCCTAGGGAAGGCTGGAGCTCTGTGATTCTGCACACAGCCTGACCCAGGGGAGCAACTGCCCTCTAGCTTCTGCTCCAGTCCCCCCACCCTCCCCGAGGCCTGCTGACCCCCAAAGTAGGATCCATCAGTGAGGCGGGTGTCCCGGGCGCCACGTGCCAGCACACTGAGCAGCCCGTGCTGGATGAAGTACATCTTCCTGCCCACGGAGCCCTCACGCACCACGAGGTCCCCCGGCTGGAAGACCTCAAAGCGCAGCTTGGTGAGCACGGCTGTGACGAAGCTGGGGTCGGCGTGGGCAAACAACGGCATGTGGGCCACCAGGCCCCGGCAGGTGAAGTTAATAATCTCCTGGGCAGGGGAGGGGCCTGTCAGGCAGGCGGTGTCCCCTGCCCCAAGGTGCCCCCATTGAGCTCATCTGTCTCCAGAGGCCCCACCCCTGGGGTTATGATCTGCCAAAGGATGGGGATGCTTCAGTGGGCCTGGGACCATCCCTAAGTTCCTGCCTTCAGAGCTCTCCCACAAGCCCCTGCAGGACCATCCCCCCAAAACAGAGATCCCTGCAGCCCCTCCCCATGTATACTTAACCCCCATAAGACTTTCCAGAAAGACCCTAGTCCCTAAAAGCCCCCCAGAGGCCTGGTCTCATCACCTCCTGACCAACAGCCCCCACCCCAGATGCACCCCACACGCCCAGCCCCACCTCCCGAAGCGGCTCGCTCAGCTCGCCCAGGATGCTCTCCTCGTCGAACATCTTTCCCTGGTAGCGGTGCTCATAGTACTCGTGGATGCGCTGCCGGGTGTCAGCCGGCAGCTTGTGGAAGGACATGTACTGCTCCACCTGCTTGTACTGGAGGGCCAGCCGGTGGTCGGTGGCCAGTGGATACAGAGCCGGGTGCAGGGCAGGGGCCGTGGGGGGTACGGTATGTGGAAGGAAGACCACAGGCATCGGCCAGATCCGGAGGGGTGAAGCATGGAGACACATGGGGGTACGGCGGGCCACAGGGAAGACACACGGCACAGTCACAGGAAAACCCAGACGTGGGCAGAGAAAGGGTCAAGGACAGGGACATAGGTCCAAACAAGGAAACAGTTACACACAGGGGCATGGGACAAATGGACACAGGGCAGGGAAGGACACAGAGACCCAACACGGGCATGCGTCAGAATCGGCCTCGAGTGGAGCTACCCAGCCTCTGACACGCTTCCATGCCCAGCCCTTCCTTCTCCTGCCCCTGCTGACCTTCTCCTGGTACTGACGTCGGGAAGAGTCCAGGGACTGGATGAGCGCCGTGGCGTGGCCGATGAACATGGCGTAGCACGTGGCACCCACAATCATGCTGAGCATGGTGAGCCAGACGTCGGGCATGCCTACAGGGGCTTGCTGCCCGTAGCCAATGCACAGCATGTGGCTCATGGCCTTGAACAGGGCGTGGGAATACTGGCGCCCCCACGAGTGGTTCTGGAGGGCAGAGTGCATTGCCGAGCTGGACACAGCCTCCTCGGAGAGGCCTCATTCTCCTCCTGCAACCCCCCTCCTTCAGTTCTTCCGCCTGCCCCCCTCTTCTTTAGGCTCGGTTCTGGGGGCCCCAGGGCAGAAGGGGCCTCTCTGCAGCGTGGGGGCCCCCAGTGTCTGCCTGGGTGTCCTTCCCTGCCTGCTCCCCACAACACAAGAGCACTTCCTCCCATCCAAGTACTAACCAGGACAAGAGCCCTTCCTCTAGGTAGCTTCCCCCCACCTCCACCTCCTCACGCGGCCATCTCCCACCTTCTGCCCCTGCTTCCCAGGCAGAGGAGCCCTGAGAAGGCCCAGAGGTGTCAGGGCTGTGGGGAGTTCTCACCACCATGCGGTTGATGGAGACCCAGCAGTCAGGAGGGAAGTCCTGCAGCATGGGGACCAGGAACTGCAGACACCCGTCCCAATGGCACAGCAGCAGCATCATCCCGATGAGGTTGAAGATGCGCACCACGGCACTGGCCAGGTCATAGGTCATGTGAAAGATCTGAGGAGTCCGAGGAGCGGCTGCTGTGGACAGGACCCCCTCCCCGCTGGTCCTCCTCTAATCCTGGCCCTGCAAATTCTCTCCTTGAACTTCTCTGGCCCCAGCCCCCATGAATGTTTCAAACGCGGCTGTTATTCACGCACAGCACACCCATACAGCAGATACAAAGTCGGCTGGGCTACTACTCTCATCTTATGCATAGGAAATTGATGCCAGTCACGTGCCCAGAATCACAGCGTCACAGCAGAAACTCAAAACAATCTACTGCGCAAGCTGCCCAGGCCGTGCCCACTGGAAGAGAGGAAGAGGGCATTTCACGGTGCAATGTCCCCAAGGCCTGCGTGCCAGCACTCGCGCCCACAGCCCCCTTCCCCTCCCCCCAACACTAACAGAACTTACTATGTTCCAGGCACTGTTCTAGGAGCTTTACGGGTATTAATTCCTTTAAGCCTTATAACCTTCTCGTATGTAAGTATATTTAACGTCTTCATTTTATAGAAGAGGAAACCAAGTCCCGTATAGTAAATAGTAAAACGGGGATATGATCACAGGCAATGAAATCGCAGGGCCCACACTCTGAACCACTAAACTCTGCTCCCCTTGAAGCCGAAACTCCAGGCCCTTCCACAGCCTGCTCCCCTCCCACTTCCGCCTGCCCCCCCTCAACTAACCTGCAAGTGTTCCTCCGCAGCTGCGCCCCACCCTCCTCACCTGCGGGGCGCGGGGGGGCCCCCCCGAACCCTCAGAGTGCCCCTGCTTCTGCCCCACCAGCTCTGGAGAGAGCCCACCCGGCTGCCTCACTCCGTAAAGTCACCAGGAGCCCCACCCATAGCGCTGTCCCGGAGAAGTCTGCGAGCCCCACTGCCCACCTCCCCGCCCCACCTCCTCCCACTGGTGTATGTAGCGGATGAGGCGGGAGAGGCGCAGCAGCCGTAGCAGGCTGAGGATCTTGGTGAAGCGCACAATGCGCAGCGCCCGCGCTGTTTTGTAGACCTCGGCGTCCAGTCGTGGTTCCAGCTCCACCACCAGGAAGATGTAATCCACCGGGATGGAGGAGATGAGGTCGACCAGGAACCAGGTGCGCAGGTAGCGCGACCGGATGGCCCGCGGTGCCAGCAGGATTTCAGCACCCTCCTCAACCACGATGCCGGTGCGGAAGTTGAGCACCAGATCCAGCAGGAAGAAAGTGTCTGAGAGGACGTTGAAGACGATCCAAGGTGGGGAGTTCTCCTCCTTGAAGAACGTGATGCCCACGGGCAGCACAATGAGGTTCCCCACCATCAGCAGGAGCATGATCAGGTCCCAGTAAAACCTAAGGCGGGGGTGGGACGGGGAGTAAGACCACGAGATTGCACCACCCACTCGACAAACAGCAGAGTCTGACACAGCTAAGGTGGGGAACGGAATGGTCATTTACAGCTGGTGGGAGTGTAAGGTGGGACCACCATTTGAGAAAATAGTTTGGTATTATCTAATAAAGTTAAACATTTGCATTCCCTGCAACCCAGCAATTCCATTCTAAGTATATTCACACTCAAGGGAAGTATGTGCTCCAGGAGATACATACAGGAATTTTTACAGCAGCATGAAATCTGGAAATAATCCAAAATGTTCATCAGTAGAAAAATGTAGATTAATAAAATAAATACCATAGATAAATAGACTGTGATATACTCATGCCCTGGAGTAATCCACAACACTGAAATCACCCAACAGCAGCTACATTCCACAGCGTGGGTGAATCTCACTAATCTAGTGCTGAGCAAAAGGAAGAACAAAAGGATACATACTGGATGATTCCACTTGTACAAAGTTCAAAAACAGCCAAGACTAAACTGCATTATTTAGAGAGTCACAGAAAAGCGGTAAAACTATTTTTAAAAGGGTAAGGACATGAGTGCCACAAAAATTAGAATAATAGGTTAGGGAAAGGGCTGTGAGACCGGTAAGGGTGCTTCTGGGCGCCGGCAATGTAGTCTCTCTTCACCTGGGTGGTTGTTACACGGGGGTGTGCTTTGTAATTACATATACATGTATGTGTGTACGCATACGTGTACATGTGCCTACGTACACACACATGTATTTTGAGTACATACGCAATGTAATATGCCAGCATATGCTATACCGCTAGGTAGAAGTCTACGTATAGGTACCCACTGGACAGATGTGTCTACTAGACACACCCTCGCTGTATACACTCATACATCTCTTTAATGTGTATAACATATACATAGTATTTTGTCATGTACATGCTTTATGTCACTACCATTAAATATTTTTAAAGTTAAAAAAAGACCGAGTACCCTGTGCTAACCCCACAGCGTTGTTGAAAACACACACACTGAGACAATGGATAAGACAGTGTGTACAAGCACTAGTTGGTTTCATGACTCACCCACCTTTTGTTCCCAGATTTCTGAAGAGGTTGCTGCTTCTTCCATCTCCAGCTCTCTGCCCATTCCTGGTCTAGGACTTCACGCCCTCCCCACCCCAACCCTCCTTCCCAACACATCTGGACCCATGGTTCCTGGTTCTCTGCTGGGATCTGCTTGTCTATGTCCCAGGGTGGGGTGGTCTGTTCTGTTTCCCATCTGAACTGAGCTTTTTAGGGATGCTCCGCCCCCCTTCACAGCCCTTCAGACAGGGCTGCACACAGAGAGGCTCCACAGGAGATCCTGAGGCAGCAAGGCTTAAAGCTCCACACTCCTTTCCTTCCCTAATCTCCCTGTGCCTACTGGCACTCTGGCTGAGCCCAGGCAAGGGCACTGGCAGGGGAGGGCCACAATGCTGTGGTGGAAGTGTGGAAAGAAGAGGTCAGGAGGAAGCTGGGTGAAGCCTTCATTCAGAGATCACTGGACCATCTAGGGCCCCCATTAGCTATGGTGGTTTTATTTCTATTTTTTAAAGATTTATTTATGTATTTGAGACAGAGAGAGGCAGGGGAAGGAGCAGAGGGAGAGGAAGAGAGAGTCTTAAGCAGACTGAGAGTAGAGCCCGATGCAGGGCTCAATCTCATGACTCTGAGATCACTACCTGAGCTGAAACCAAGAGTTGGACGCTTAACTGACTGGGTGCCACCCAGGCACCCCAGCTGTGGTGGTTTTAATTCCAGGACACACCTAATCACAGCATCAAACCAGGACCCAGCCCCTTCTGGGTCTGACCACAAAATCAATCTTTTCAGCTTCTAAAAGAAACATGGGGGTTCCCAAATCCAGGCCTTCAGGAAGCCTCTCAGACTGTGTGCTTTCAATCAACAACAAATCCTTGACCCCCTCTTCCTCTGCCTCCTGGGCCACTGGAGAAATCCTGTACTGTGAGCTGGGAGAGGAGAGGAGAGGAGAGGAGAGGAGAGGAGAGGAGAGGAGAGGAGAGCTCGCCCAGCCATGGAGCATCTTCACAGCCTGACTCACAGGCAGTCACAAGCCTAGCAGGTGATGCAGTAGAGAGGACGGAGAAGAAGCATGCTAATAAGGGGGAATACATGGCTTCTGAGGGTTACACCTGAGGGTGAAACGGGGGAGGGGAGGAAGATCACAGGAGGTTAGAACAGGTGCACCGGTGGGGTAGGAATAAGGCAGTAAAGAGGGAAGAGGAAGGAACAATGGGAGAAAGAGGAACATTTAGGGAGTGTGTATGGCTGTGGATACAAAATGATGTCTAGGTCTCCAATTGTGTTTCCAGGCTCCTGATTCACACCTCATCCTTTCTGCTCACTTTGCTCCCCACCTTAGGTGCTTTGGACACATCGTTGCCTCATCCAAAAGCTGTCCTTCATTTCCCCCAAGGACAGGGCTGCTCTCCTCCCCTAGCGACCTTGATGTAGAGGTACAGCCCCACCTCCACCCTCTGTCCCTACGTCTCTCTGATAGTCACCTGGGAGGGTGGCCGTGCCCCTGCGTTGCTGCCTCAATCGCTCCGAGTCCCGGCCCTGCCCCGCTGCATCCCGCCTTCAGCACCAGGGACAGCGACGAGAACCGCAGCTGGGACACCCCCGGGCCCCCGCCCCACAGCCTCCCTATTTTTTCCTGGTAGCCTGCCCTGCTGAACTATGCAGGTGCTGGGGGTGGAAGTGCAAGGGTGGGAGATACGGGAGCTCGGTTTCTCCCTCAGGCTGACCCCGACCCCGAACATGACATAATTTCCCAGATCCCCGGCAGACAGAACTGCAGGAGGCAGTGGTCCCTAACTCCAGTAGTCCCTGTAGTCCAGGGGGAGTGCCAGGTTCCCGAAACGGGAAATCCAGATCTCTGCTGTCTGCTCTGGTGTCAGGTCACCGAGGACCTCCGGCTGGGAATCCCTCGCCCAAGAATTCCCAGGCTAGATTGGGGGAAGTGACTCTGTCGTCCCACCCGAGGACCCCTGGGCCGGAAATGAAGTGTCCGTGGAGGGTGGGGCGGACCCTGCCCCCGAGTCGCGGCCCATGGAGGTGGGATCTGTGTCCCCCGCCCTCCTTGCTGGGCCCCCAGTACCGGAAGTCGCTGTAGGGGTGGATGATCCAGGCCCCCGCTGACTTGACCCTCTCCTGCTCGATTTCCACTGCTTTGTGGCTGCCAAACACGCGAAGGGAGAACTTGTTGACCGTGGGCTGGAGCAGCGTCCCGAGCTGCCTCCGCTTGGGCTCGGGCCCAGACGCGGGCGCCGGGAGCGGTCCCGAGGCCGCGGTCGCAGGCGCCGGGGCAGCAGGAGGAGCCGCCTCCAGCCCAGGGGTCGCCCGTTCGTCGGCCCCTGTCGTCGGCCGCTGCTCTGCCTCCATGACGCCCGTTGGCTTACAGGCTTGGCCTCGTAGACCCTGCCGCGGCCATCCGGGACCCCGACCCCTCCCGGGGTAGGAGCCGGCGCAGCCGGGCGGGCTCGGAGCTGCCGGCGCGCGGGGCGGAGGGGGTGTGTGCGCCAGACTCGCGGGCGGGCGGCCGGCTGGTTGCGGGGCGCCCCCTGGCGGGAGCCGCCTCGAAAAGAGGCGGGGCCGACGAAGCCCGCCTCCTGGGAGGACTGCGGCGTGGGCGTGGCCTGGCAGGTGGGGGCGCCACTCCAAGTGCAGGAGGAGGAGGAGGCGGGGAAACGCGGCTAGAGTCACGGAGGGGGCGTGGCCTAGCGTTGATGCGCTTTCAGCCAATGAGCGCTGGGGAGGCGGAGCCGCCTGCGAGTGGCGGGAAAACCGGACGCTGGCCGGAGGGCGAGGAATTGGGGACCAATGAAGAGGCGGGGAATGGCCACTCTTACTCACGGACTTCCTGCATTTCACTTTCTTTTTTTTTAAAGATTTATTTATTTATTTATTTATTTATTTATTTGACAGAGAGAGACAGAGAGAGGGAACACAAGCAGGGGGAGTGGGAGAGGGAGAAGCAGGCCTCCTGCGGAGCAGGGAGCCCGATGCGGGGCTCGATCCCAAGACCCTGGGATCATGACCTGAGCCGAAGGCAGACGCTTAACGACTGAGCCACCCAGGCGCCCCTGCATTTCACTTTCTTTATCAGCACTCTCCTACGCATATTCCTTTCTTTTCATCTCCACGCCCCTCCCCTTAGGATTTCATTTCCGAATTCATTGTGCCAGCCTTCACCAAGAGTGACCCTACCCGTCACTGAGTGGACACTGAGGACACAAAGATGAATACCCAAGTCCCAGCCACAAAGTCAGTCTCGTCTATGCCCGCATACAGACACAGCTAGAAGCTCCTAAATATCTCAAATTCCTCCCCTCGTTCCCGTTTCTTATCGCCACTGCTGATTTCAAGCCTTCAGGATTTTTTCACCTTGATTATTTCAGAGGCCTCTACAAGGGGCCCTACACCCTCTCAGGCCAGTTCTTTTCCCACAGTCTGCCAGAGTTACTCGCCTGAGTCAAATGTGCTATGTCCTTCAAACTTCTCCATCTTCTGTAGGATGACGTTTAAGCTCCTTATGAAGGACATACGAGGCCCTACAACATGGACCTAATTTCAACAGCCTCTCTTCTTATAGTCCCTCTCTGGAAAGCCAGGCCTCCAATCGTGCTGAAATGCTGTGTTCTGTCTTGTCCCCAGCCCTTTGCAAATATTTTTCTGCCTGGTATTCTTCTCCAATTCCCTTCTGACAGCTGGTTCACGGGACATCTCCTCTAGGAAACCCAGAAACACATTTCCAAGTCTCCTTTCCCCAGCGAGAGTCTAGTCTAGAGCTTTCTTACAGCGTCCCTAATAGCTGTCGTCACAAGGCTTTCTCTCCTGTTAGACCCGGAGGCTCTGAAGAACAGGGGCCTTGCGCCTGGCACAACGCTGGACACGTGGTGGACATGCAGTAAATGCTTGCTGCAGGAACGGACGGTCCTGTAGGGTGTTCGTGGAAGGGGAAGGGAACCCTCCACTCTTTCTTGTCAACCCCTTCCTTACCCTCCCTCTCCTATTTTAGGGAACCCTCCCTAAACCATTTCTGGCTAACTGATCTAATCTGCATCTAACTGTCCTCCACCCCTGTCCCCTCTGATAGGTCCCGACTTTCACACAGTCATACTCAAGTTATGTTTTCTTTTCCCTTTGTGACTATTTCTCAATCCAGGTTGTCTCAAGGTCTCCTTCTCTTTCCTCTTTTTTTTTTTTTTTTTTTCCTCCAGTTCAGTTGATTTACACTTCTCATGTACTGCGTCTGAGTTCGGAACACATGAGCTCTCCGCGAGCTCCCCTCTTTCAGCACCTGCTTCTCCGTCCCTCCATCTCTCAACCTCTCCTCCACGGCCGGACCCCTGACCCTCACGTGCATACCGTTTGTTCAGCACAAAAGCGGGGAGCCCCTCTTTGCTGTGGCTAGGTAGCCAAACTGTTTTAAGAACTGGATATTCGCAGACTGTGCCGGAGAGTCAGACCTCACACCAAGCCTCTAAAGGTGTGCTGAGCGCCGACGCCCCGTAAATGACAACTTCCAGGTTCCTCTCCAACCCCCACAGCTCGCAGAGTCAGCCCCACAAGTGTTCCGGAAGGCACAGAC